AATTAAAAAAAAAAAAAAACCTTACCGGCTGTTTGAATTTGAAAAATGACACCTGAATTTTGATCTTGACCCTCCACCAGTTGATGATCGGAATTCCTAATACCTAATATGATCGAAGATTTTCAGTTAAACCTTCACTTACTAAATATTGCTACTAGCCCCAATTTATTAATACTCAGAACAGTTGAAGATGCTTTTCTAAAACATAAGATCAAAAGTTGAGTTGTGCATATTCAGGAAACTTTAATGTTGTAACATGTATTTTTATTCTAATTAGGCTGAACCTCAAAGCTGTTTTTTATTATTATTTCTCACTTTCTGAAACAATCACAAAACTCATGGGTGTGTTGCTACATCGCTAGTGCAATTGCAATTTTGAGATAAGTGGAACATTCTGTACCTAAGCAAAACTTTATGGTTTTTAGTTTGTAATCTGCCGTTTTATTTATGAGGCCTAATCTTGTTCTTCTTGTTTATTTTAGGGCAAGCTAGACCCTGTTGTTGGGAGGAAAGAGCAAGTAGAACGTGTAACCCAAATTTTGGGAAGGCGTACTAAAAATAATCCTTGCCTCATTGGGGAACCTGGAGTTGGGAAAACAGCAATTGCAGAGGGTCTTGCCCAGAGAATAGCCAATGGGGATGTTCCAGAGACGATTGAGGGGAAAAAGGTGAGCTGTTATGACAACTTTTATGATAAGAAAAATTTGAAATGGGTTTGACCTTGAAAGGTCCCGGATTGATGATATCTACACAATTAAAACATTAATTTTCTATAATATAGAGAATTTGGTAGTTCCTTTGAGCGACTTGTACATTCTTTTAAAAGCTGGGTTCAAGTGGTTTAACCAGGGACCGCGATATGAACCTGACTGTCTGATTAATCCTCAACAACCAATTTGTTATTGGTTTTATATTATTAATTTTATGTGTATTTTAAATTTTATGGAACTACATATTTTTTCACACTCAAAATATCATTTGAGATTTTCAATGGTAGATTTTTCAGTCATCCATAATATTCCAAGTTGTTTTTTAATTAATATATAGTAGGTAATAAAATAATGTTTTGCATTATTTTTTCTACCACATAATAAAACTTGAACTTCTTGTATGCTCATTATTTAGTTTTTGAAACATTAACTATTACCACAGACATAAGCATGTCTACAATTTATGCTTAATTATTTGAGATTTTCAATGGTAGATTTTTCAGTCATCCATAATATTTCCAGTTGTTTTTTTAAATAATATATAGTAGGTAATGAAATAATGTTTTGCATTATTTTTTCTACCACATAATAAAACTTGAACTTCTTGTATGCTCAGTATTTAGTTTTTGAAACATTAACTATTACCACAACAGACATAAGCATGTCTACAATTTATGCTTAATCGGGTTATCTTCTCTAGGCATGGGTGAGCGAAATATTGTAAGGCCAATTCAGAGCTCTACTGCATGAGTAGCAAAACAAAATCCAAAGTTAGTTAGGCTTCGGCTTGTTTAAGTTTTTTGCTGCTTTTCTATGTCACCATTGCTATTCAGTGTTTTCTTCTAATGATTCCTAAAAAAGCAGTAAATTTACTTTAATATTGTATTAAGTTCAGGTTATAACTCTGGATATGGGCCTTCTTGTTGCTGGTACAAAGTATCGTGGTGAGTTTGAAGAAAGGTTGAAGAAATTGATGGAGGAAATTAAGCAAAGTGATGATATTATACTCTTCATTGATGAGGTGCACACGTTGATTGGAGCAGGAGCTGCTGAAGGGGCAATTGATGCTGCAAATATTTTGAAGCCCGCTTTAGCCCGGGGTGAATTACAGGTTCACTTAAAAAATGGAGTTTTTTCAATACAAGGCCTGAAAGATGGGTAAACTATCAATTCGGGGCTTGAAAGATTTTTTTTTTTTCAATTCAGGACCTAAATGTTATAAAACTATCAAATTAAGGCTGTGTTTGGTAAACCAAATAAGCTAGCTTATACCTTATTTGGTTAGCTTATAAGCTTCCTGTATTCAAATAAGCCCCGTTTGGTAGGACGAGCTTATTTAAAAAGCTCGAGCTTATTTGATAAGCTTGTTTAGGTAGCTTTTCAAATAAGCTAGTTGAATTTTGTATTCCAGCTAGCTTATCAGCTAATTTTACCAAACATTTTTATCGTATAAGCTAGCTTTTCAGCTATAAGTCATATGCTATAAGCTATAAGCTCGAAAATTACATATAAGCTATAAGCTAGCTTATCAGCTAGTTTTACCAAACATAGCCTAAGTCTTACAATTAACAACACTCATAAAACCATTAAAATTGAGAGGTAATTTGAAGTTTTAAAAAACAAAATTTGAAGAAAAATAAAAGATCGTTGCTTACTCACATAAAATAATAAGTAAACATTTGCATAATATTAAAAAAAAAAAGATTTGGTGTTTTAAAACTTCAAATTAGCTTTTAATTTATTAGTTTTATGAGTGTTGTTAATTGTAGGACTTAATTTGATAGTTTTATAACATTTAGGTCTCGAATTGAGAAAAAAAATCTTTCAGGCCCCGAATTGATAGTTTATCCATCTTTCAGACCTTGTATTGAAAAAACTCCAAAAATTTATATAACCATCATTCTGTAAATATGCTCCAAGTTTAATCAATGTCAGTGTTGAGATTCTTAATAATGCACCCTTCTATGGTATTTTTCTCTTCTCAGCTTTTTGTTTTGATTTTACAACATGTGTTTGAATTTAATTAAACTCGTAGAGATTTTTTGCACAATGATCATGATTTTTTAGTGGGTTTAATACTGATCTTATTGTTCGTTCAACTAATTATCGTCTCACTGATCCTTTTTTGTTCTTTTGGATAACTTCACAATCACCCATTAGGCTTGACCATGTTCCAATAATATCCAGCTAACGTGAAAACTATTAGAAGAGCATTACATTTTGTTCCTAATGTTATAATTTGAAAAGCTGAAGTGTAAGGAAAATATATGATGTTAGGACAAATTCTGTTACATCAACTCAACAGATGCCTATGTTAAACAGAACCAAACCTCTTTGGTGGTTTCAATTTTAGTTTTTCACCTGCATGTGTTGTACTTTAATAGTGTATTGGGGCAACAACACTTGATGAGTACCGAAAGCACATAGAGAAAGATCCAGCACTAGAAAGAAGGTTTCAACCCGTGAAGGTCCCCGAGCCCACTGTTGAGGAAGCCATTCAGATTCTCAGAGGGTTACGTGAACGATATGAGATACACCACAAAGTCCGTTACACTGATGAAGCTATAGATGCTGCTGCACAATTGTCCCATCAATATATCAGGTAGTGATTTATTAATAATCATGGTCTGGTACATTGCTGTGAAGTGCATTTGGTGAAGGCCTTGTTATATGTGATTCTTGTTTGACGAATTGATCTTTCGCGAATTCATTTATCAGGATATTTTTTAAAACTGCTGTTTAGGTTTGTCTACATACAAAATATTTCCCCTCCAGTTACATCATTTGAGGGGAAATTGTAAAACAGAAACAAAGTTCATGGGGGTAGTTACTAGTGCCTCTGCCCTTATGGGATATATCTAACGTACAAAATTTAAATTTTTGTAATTACAATATCACCTTGCTTACCACAAAAAGCACCTGACATGGGGAGTGTAAAAAACAGTAACTAAGTTCTGAGAGGTAACTGTAAGATATAATCCAATGCAGTTTCCTTGTTAATGCACTGCAACTTCCTTGTAGCTGCAGAGCACTTTCATGGCAGCCATTTTAGGACTTTTCAGCTTAAGTAATTTATAGGAAAGCCACTAGGGTAGTTGTTTTTAGTTCTTATAAAAAGGGATGCAGTTTATTTTGTAAACATTAAGAAAAAAACTGAATACTCAATACATTGAGTTGTTCACAATCTTCTTCTTTCATTCTAAAAGTGTCCGTTTGTGCCGGAAGCAATTTTGCTTACCTGAACAGTGAACGAGCAGGGACTAACAGAAGCCTCAAGGAATATTTTGTTATTTTAAAACTTAAGTTGACTTCTGTACTAAAGACTGTACCTCAGGTTTATTATTGCATTTTTACCCTTCATCGTGTCAGTAGTTTCTTCCAGTCCTTAATTAGATGTGAACGTTCTGAAATGCCAAATGCCAGCCTTTTAACACTACCTTTGCATTGTTTTAGTGACCGGTTTTTGCCAGACAAAGCAATTGACTTGATTGATGAAGCTGGTTCTCGAGTCCGCCTTCATCATGCGCAGGTTTGTTTCCTTCAATTGCCACTATATTTTTCAGTGTGATCTTTGGTGATAACTTCTGTCCTCTGCTGCAGCTTCCTGAGGAAGCTAAAGAACTTGAAAGAGAGCTCAGGCAGATAACAAAGGAGAAGAATGAAGCCGTTCGAAGTCAAGACTTTGAGAAGGTAAGCGAGATGGCCATCCTCTGTTGTATCTTTGCCAATGTAACTGATAGCTAATAAAACTTGGAAACGTTCAACCACTATCATCACTGTTGAAAGAAGTTTAAAGTATAAATGAAGAAACCCAGAAGTGTGAGAAAAATACGACCTGATGGTTGATTCTGTGTTGAAAGTATTGTTTTACACATATAACGGGTTTTTTGAATTGTTTTTGCTTATGAATGGAGTAAAATGTATTATAGAATCACACCAGGAGACTGTTCTTTAGCGGCAAATCCTCCCTCCTTTAGGCCCAAACTTTAATTTCTTTTTGATATATTCACTTGCAAAATCATCCTCCCGTATATCCTTATTATTAAAAAAGAACCAGTTGCAATTTTGCCATTAAGGAAGGTATCTTTTACAAACACTTTACAAACTGTACCCTGGATTTATACAATTTACATGATAGAAACATATGCCAGATTGTTTAAATGTAATATCGTAAAATAACCCTTTTTTTGTTTTTTTTTAAAAATTCACGCTAAATCACCTCAGACCATAATTCCATATGTAGCCATCCCGTTTTTCCAATTCCGCACAACTTAAATAATGCTCATGAATTCATTCCAGGCTGGGGAACTGCGCGACAAGGAGATGGACCTCCGATCCCAGATGTCCGCCCTTGTGAACAAGAAAAAGGAGACGACCCGGGCAGAGGCTGAGACGGGCGATGGGGGCCCCACCGTCACGGATGCCGACATCCATCGCATCGTCTCTTCTTGGACGGGCATTCCCGTCGATAAGGTGACTTCTGAAGAGTCCTCCCGCCTCCTCCGCATGGAATCGACTCTCCATGGCCGCGTGATCGGCCAGGATGAGGCTGTGGAGGCCATCTCCCGTGCCATCCGCCGTGCCCGTGTCGGCCTCAAGAACCCCAACCGCCCCATTGCGTCCTTCATCTTCTCGGGCCCCACCGGCGTGGGCAAATCGGAGCTCGCCAAGGCCCTTGCCGCCTACTACTTTGGCTCCGAGGATGCCATGGTCCGCCTCGACATGTCGGAGTTCATGGAGCGCCACACCGTCTCGAAGCTCATTGGCTCTCCACCGGGTTACGTTGGCTACTCGGAAGGTGGGCAGCTCACGGAGGCCGTCCGCCGCCGCCCCTACACGCTCATCCTTTTCGACGAGATCGAGAAGGCCCACCCGGACGTGTTCAATATGATGCTCCAGATTCTGGAGGACGGGCGTTTGACTGACAGCAAGGGCCGCACGGTGGACTTCAAGAACACGCTTCTAATCATGACGTCCAATATCGGGAGTAGTGTGATCCTCCAGAACCAGAACCGGAAGCCCAAGCGCAGGTTCGGGTTCCAACTCGATTATGACGAGGATGAGGAGGAGGAGAAGGAGGATCGTAGTTACAATAACATTAAGAGGTTGGTGATCGGGGAGCTGAAAGAGTACTTCCGACCTGAGTTTTTGAACAGGTTGGATGATATGATTGTGTTCAGGCAGCTGACCAAGGAGGAGGTGAAGGAGATTGGGGATATTATGTTGAAGGAGGTGGTTGTGAGGTTGAAGAAGAGGGACATCGAGCTTCAGGTGACGGATAGGTTTAGGGATCTGGTGGTGGAGGAAGGCTATAGTCCGAGCTATGGGGCGAGGCCATTGAGGAGGGCCATCATGAGGCTGCTGGAGGATAGCATGGCCGAGAAGATGCTCGCTCGCGAGATCAAGGAGGGCGATTCCGTAATTGTTGATGTGGACTCCGATGGGAAAATTGTGGTTCTCGGCGGCGGCGGTGGTGGGCGGGGGGCTGCCGCGCTTGAGGCATCTCCTGATCTTGCGGTGGTGTAGATTTTGTTTTGTTTTGAGTTTTTTTTTTT